GTTTTCATTGGCCAATCTCAAGGCCGTTTGCAGTTCTCTTATTGCCTCGCTCACAGGTTTGACCTTGCTTGATGCCGGAATTCCAGTTAGCAGATCGGATGCCAGTCTGGGGTCCAACAGGCGTTCATTGAGGGGCTTGCTACTATGTCTTCTGTTTTTGAGAGGCAATTCAGTTGATGCATGCTCTACCTGTGAACAGCGTTGTCGAAGTTCGGCGATTTCCTAGACAAAGTACGTTTTATTAAAGCGAACCACTAATTTCTCAGCGGATAATAAGTTGCAGCCAAGCACTTTAATGTTTAAGTATCTCGATTAAATGAAACTGCATGGGTAGCCTGTGCAGATATTCCTCGGCGAAATATATAATTAAAACGCATTTCAAATAGGTAACTTAGTTTGGAAAGTTTTAAAACTTAGGTATATTCATTGCCAACATTTATTAATGACGATGTTTTAGTCTGTGGATGGGACCACACATATGGCTCAAATGACATTATGCACTAGAACGAAGGTCGAAAAGCTGACTACCTCGTTAGATGGTTCTAAGAACTATCCCATTTTTAACGTTTTCATTAAGCTTAACACTTATTCTAAATGAATGGCCAACCGATGGGAGCCAGTGCAACTCGTGAATTATTTAACACCATTTCAAGTGCGATCTGGAACTCATTGTAATCGAATACCAAATGTACGAATAAAGCAATTTGAGGAAAGGAAAGTTCTTCTAGGCAAGCTAATTGCTAGATGATTAATAGAATTTGACCTACTAGTCCACCGTACTTACCTACTTAGAAAAACCCGATTTTCTGTTTAGATGACATTACCTAAATGCATTAAGTTTCTGAGATATTTCCAGATTTACCGCTAGAGACAATCAGTAGACTGTTTCAAAACCAATATCCAACAGGTGAAGTAGGATTTTAATTAAATACCAATTTTTCAGAAAAAGGGTATTTTTTCAGATAATGCAGCTCGCACGATGACTGTGGGAGAGATTCTTCATTTGTGTTGAGATTTACTATCGGCAGACCCGTAGACCATGGGGGAATTCAATTAGGTTTTTAATGTACGTCAGGAAACCTACCTACTTCGTTTAAGTAGTCTTTAATGTAATCGCATGTACATTCATGTTTTATAATAATGATAGGCAAAACTTGTAAATAACACCCCTGCACCTTTAATTGTGGGCCTCCAACCGTCGTCCTTTCTCCTAGAATCCAAATTTTATTTAAGTTCGGAATACATGCCTCCTTGTACTGCTGAAAATTGACGATGTACATTAAAAAAGTAATTTATAACATTATTATGTTGTGGGAAGTCGCAAAAATAATATATCAGACAAGATTTGGCCTAATTCAAAGATAGCAGCCGTCTCCGCCAAAAAGAAAAAGGACCAGCGCGCGTGCATTTTACATAGGCACTGAAGAGCATAATCGTAGTACATATATATAAATATGGAGTAAATACCCTTGGTGCTTACTGAATCGTTCACCTGATATCGCTCACCTTATCTTTTAAAGTAATTTCTTGCAGCATTTCCTCACCCCGTGCTTCTAGGACTTTGATAAATTCTCTTAACTGATCGCGTTCAACAGTGACCGCCCGGTAGACAGGGCTCGCCTCAGTATGTTGGTCTTTCCGACCTATTTGCGACTGCTGATCATCACAAACACGTCCACCCTGGATGGTATCCTCAAGACCAGGTCGGGAATTTGACAGATGATTTATAAGTTCCTCCTTCCGCTCTATAACCATCTAAAACAAATAAAATATTTTTGTGTCATTTAAAAAGCCCTTACTCATAAAAGTCAAAAGGTGCTCGACTACTAACGTACACGCATGATTAATTTTTCGCTAACAGTGCGTTAGAAAACATTTATTTATCGCATGCGCAAGTAATTGTATGTCTTCCTCGAACATGTTCTAGTCCACGCAACCGTTTTCAATTTGCGTAGTGGTTTGTAAAATAACAACCAGACGGCTTTTTGAGAATATTTTAATGAAGCAGTTAACGCAGGCGCCTTTGAAAGTTGTTTCTGATTTATATGTAATGCCAGAAAGTCATTTTTATTAAACGACAGTACGTTACAGCTATATTATCGAAACATACTCTGTGGGTTCCAAGTACAAATACTTGCAAAACAGCAGCCAATATCTTTGTGCTGCCCGCTTTCTTCTGGCAAATAAGCAAAACCCTCCCGCAATTTTCAGCAATAGGAAGATGTGCCATATTAATAATTTTAACTACTTCCGGCAATAACTGGAAAATTTGACATCAAGGAAAAATTCTGAAGGGGATCAAAATATTTTTGATCGGTCGGAAACAAGGCGTTTGTATCGAGAAGGTTAAGTTTTACTGGGTGAATGTGGTTAGTGGTGTTCCTCACAGCTCCGTTCTGGGTCCTCTACTTTTCGTCATTTATGTTAATGACATCCTTCAGGAAGTGAGCTGTGGTAAATAATGTTTGCCGACGACGTTGAGCTCTGGTAAGTCATTAAGGGTTCGAGGCATCAGGAAGACTTGGAAAATTAATTCTGCATACTGCAAACGTGGTCCGAGGGATATTTCCTAGTTTGCAATGCGTCTGATCTGCAAACCACGCTAAGGGAATGGTGCACGTTATCAAAGGGATAATTGCAGTTTTCGGCAATGGTCACTTTGGTAAAGTCTATGGTATCTTCACTCGACTTCAGTTAGAATATGTCATACAATCGTGGCGACCATTGCTTGCAAAAGACAAAATATATCCTGTGAATGTGCAGCATCGTGTGACGAAGCTAGTAAGAGGTCTAAAATACCACTCTTACATAGACAGATTGCAATGCTTAAATGTATGCCCACTGGATAACAGGTAGCAAAGGGAGGATCTATTTTAGTTTACAAGATAATACATGGCCTTGAGAAAGGATTACGCTTTGAGGACATGACTCGGAGGCATTTGTCGCCTCAGTTTCATGGACACGCAATGAAACTGCGCACAAAAATGCTTAAGCTAAATCCTCGCTCAGAATTATTGACATGACGGGTAGTAGAATAATGAACTAGTTTCCCACAATCGGTCGTGGAGGCGACGGTCCCCAGCTCTCCAAAAACTGCCTGAACAATTATTTGTTTTTTGTTGTCCCTCGACAATCTGAATCCGAACTAATACAACGCAGACGTCAGAAAAGTGTTTTTCGTAAATGCAATGCTACTCAGGTTTGTGAATACTATTTTAACAGTGGTAATGTGTAGGAATGCGTGTACAGGTGTATATGACAGATCGACACGTTAACAATATGTTTTTCAGAGGCATTGCCTATTATCCTCATCAAATAAACTAAAAACTGCAAACTGAAACTTATTTGTTCGGCAGACGGCACTCTATTCTGTGCCCTCTTGACATGAGGGTCACTGCGAATTCGTTCCACAATACTGTAGCCACCAATCAAAATGAAATCGTAAGATATAACACCACTTTGTAATGACCAACCTTCAGAGCCTTGTTCTGTTGCACTTCTTTTACCAATTCAGACGTAAGGCGCCCGATTTCTCCCCTTAGCTTCGCCTCCGAAGCATTTCGGTCGGCCTGAGCAGACTTTGCCATGTTAAAGTTCTTCTCCTTTTCCTGAAGGAGGGAGTTGATGAGTTCGTGATCGTGTGCACCCTTCTCCACTAGAAGGCGTGCCTTTTCCTTCTGTTCGCTGAGGTAGGAATTTAAGACACTTATCCGGGCTTCTCGAGTCTTTAGTCGCTCCCTCAGCTGACTTACGTCGTCCTTCAGAGTTTGATTTTCCTCCTCTAGCGCCTTAATTGCCGCAGATTGCGAAGTGAAACCGGTGGAGTTGGGCAAGTGGCGTCTTGAGTCAAGCTCAGAGTGCAGACTATGGAGACGGGGAAGGACAATAGCTGTTGTCTTGCAACTGGCCACTGGCTCCAGCAACTCGTAGCCCAAATCAGTGGCACCAAGGGAGGAAGATCGGTCACTGGCCGCCCCATTTAACGTTTCCGTCTTTGGCACATCCGGATGAAACAGCCTCAGATCCCCCTCTAGGCGACGAATTTTAGCCGTCAAACTGCAGATCTGCTGTTGCCGTCCCCGCCAGGGTGCTTCCTTATTGACAGACTTGGCTAGCCAGTTAGAGAGACTGGAAATCGACTCACCCGTTTCCAGTTCCAGGGCCTTGACAGCTTGTTTGACCTCTTTGCTCAGTACAGCATTCGCGTTACGACAGGTAATCAACTGTTGCGTTGTCTGTCGTAGACGCTCCAGCAGTGAGTCGATACTGTTGTCCTTATGTTTGCTGTCACCCTTAGAAGAGGGGTTGGCCATGCCTAGCTCGGTGTCTTTCAGTTTCTGGCAGAGAAGACGATTTCGTTCACGAGCCATGTAGAGTTCTGCTTGAAGGGACTGATTCTTCTTCAGCAGCTCTTCCCTCCTGCCTCGTGATACCTTCTCTTCGCCGGCTTTTGCGCAATCAGCAATAGTTTCCCTCGACGGCAAATGGCCCAGCGTGGCGTCTTTACCAGCCTTCCCGGCTGACATGTCTTTTTTGACGTCCGCATGTAGAGAGTTTATTTGTGATTCAAAGATATCAATGTGAAGGTCGTCAGAAATCCCAAAAGATGCCGCTGAGCTCTCCAGTGGAGACAGATCCTGACGGCTGTTTGAATTCATTTTTCTGTCCTAGAAATTATAGGAAATATATTCAGCAAGAGACATGCTATCATATAGTAGACAGAAGAACATAAAGGTCCCACAAAGAGGCGGAAGACACTTTCGAAAACGAAAAGCGAGACGCTGCGGAGAATGGAGTTCGACAAATATATTGTCAAACTTTTCGCTGACAAAGGACGGTTAACAACTATTCTGAACAAGGAGGGTTGTGTCCACAAACTCGTGGCTGTTTTGGGCGATAGAATTACTAACCTGCTCCGCTAAGATGACATGCTGAAGACAACAGTAAACGGTATCAACAAGGACTTTACAAGTCTTCGGAAAGCAAAAGCAATAAAATGGATGAACTGATAAATATAAAACCAAAGGATGCAGCGATCGCAATAATAGATGGCTTCACTAAGGTGCACAATCCAGGAACCAACCTACGACAGATATTGTCTCCAAAAGGCACCGCAACGTTTAACCCAGCCAAGTGTTTGTTCATTAAGCGGATATATTATCATTGTAGCCAAACAAATTACCTTATTGAAAGCGGCAACTGGGTTTGCACGGCCGCTGTGAGAGGGAGAGATAAAGCTTCCTTGGAAGCCACCACCTCCTCCCCG